TCAACAAATTTCGAATTTAAAATTTCCAATGTATGCAAAAAACTTGAATCCGGATTGCGCAGACCGCCCTCCGATAAGCAACTAGCATAATTATAATTTTGATCAGTTTCTTCATCCGTTCTGAAACTTAGTTTCGTCAACCCCCTTTTTGAGATTATGCATTAATTTTCAGGTTCATCATATTCGACATCTTTGAGTGGACTGATGAAATCTTCTGCTGTTTTTTAAACATCGATGGTTTGCCTTCGATGTTCGATGTTTTTGCCATCGATGGTTTCGTCCGATGTTTTCCTTCCCATCGATGTTTTGGTTCGATGTTAATCAATTTTTTTTTAACTTTTAAATCGATTAAACCGATGGCAACCCGCCTCAAACGTAAAATAATAATCGATTCATTTAATCGCACATTGAACATCACTAACAAAATATTGAACATCACTAAGTAAAGCACGTTTTGGCGGCATTAATTATACTTCTAGTGTTCATAAATATAGAATAAAGTTGTGCAAAAAAAGTGAAAAATATGCCGCGTATTAGCGAATTTTGGAAGCATTTTACAAAATTATCATCGTCTGCCGCCAAATGCAACCATTGTGGTAATGTGCTCAAAACTTCGGGAAACACTTCAAATTTGAAATGCCACATGCAAAGTGTGCATGGGGAGTTGTTGACTGCAAGCAGCAGTGCAAAGTCTGTTTCTAATGTGAATTCTGTGGCCAGTAAAAATTATAAGCAAACAACTTTAGTTGAAGATGACGAGGATGAAGCATTACTCTCTTCACTTTTACCTTCAACATCACGATCCTCAAGCTGTTCAAATGTGAGTAATTTTTTATTTTAAATTAAATTACTTGAAATTAAATGCAATATGACTTTTAGTTGTCATCGGTGCCTTCCCAACAATCCATAGTCTCGGCATTTCAGCATGTAAAAGATTACAAATCTGGGGGAAAGAAAAATGAAAAAGTATCCCAAGCAATTGTTTTCATGATATGTCGTGATATGCAGCCCATAAGAACTGTGGAAAGACAGGGTTTTTTGAAATTGATGAAAGTTTGTTCGCCTCTTTATGTCGTTCCAAGCCGTTTCACAATAAAGAGAATGATCAATGACAAATTTGTAGCACTACAACATGTTTTGAAGGAAAAGTTGAGAGAAAAATATGTAACAATTACCACTGATGCTTGGACTGACATCCAGATGCGCAGTTATTTGAGTGCTACTGCCCGTTTCATTGATAAAGGGGACAAACTGTATAATGGGAATCTGGGGCTAATACCACTGGATGAAAGCCACACGGCTGAATATCTGGCCTCTAAATTAAAAGATTTATTCTCGGATTGGGGTTTAACTGAAGAATTCATTGTTGCAATTGTCACCGATGGGGCACCCAATATTGTTAAAGCGGCACATTTGGCAGTCGACCCAAAAAAGCATATACATTGTTTCGCACACAATCTCAACTTAGTTGGTCAGCGAGCTATAGAACGTTCCGGCGATGTGCAAGAGCTAGTGGATCATATAAAGAGGATTGTGAAGTGGTTTAAACATAGTGTGGTTGCAAGCGATCAACTTAGAAAGTTAAATGACAAAAAACTCATTCAAAGTGTGCCAACACGTTGGAACTCTACACCCAGAAAAAAGTCAGCTAAAAATATTTCTCTGAACACATGATTTGGTAACTATAACCAAATAATGTAACTATAACCAAATCATGTGTTGAGAGAAATATATTTAGCTTAATTTTTTCTGGGTGTACGTTCAATATGCTACAAAGATTTTTAGAATTGCGACCGTATATAAATGTCATTTTAAACGAATATCCATCAGCACCGATAATGGCAACTGCAAATCAAATAGACGACATTAAAGAAATTGTGAATCTCTTACAACCTTTAGATACTGCTACATCTGAAATATGTGGAGAACAATATTTGACAGGAAGCCTCGCGATTGCCATGTTGTAGTTGAATTGGATAAAAGATTTAGCGGAATTGAACATTGTTTTGTTTAGCAACAATTTTGGACCCTGGTTTCAAAACCATTTATTTCAGTGATCCACTTCAATTATCAAAATCTTTGCAGACTATTGATCGCATTGTTAAACAAATGGAAGCTTTAAACATGTCTTGTTCAACAACTTCTTCCGAATCTGAATCTGGAGATAAGGATACAACCCACAACAACAGTTTATTTAGCGAGCACAACAAAATCATTCAAAGAAAATGGCGAACAAATACGAATACAGAACAGCAATTTAGAAGCAACCATTCCGAAGTGTCCTTATATATGCGTAAGAGTTATTAACATACATCAACTAAATAGTTACTTACAATTTCGGAAGCACCAGCGGAAAAAATGAAGCAAAATCCTTTAGTTTTTTGGACTG